CTGTAACTATCTGTTAATGACAAAAAACATCATTGCCGCTGTGCATTTTCATCAAAAAATTGTAGAAGAGAACTTTTTTTATATCAAAAATTTTCCTAATTTGAAGCAAAGATGGTAATTTTTCTTTTTGAATGCTTCAGTATTTTAATATGCTACCAATTAAACATGGAACAATTTCAAAATAATGCGTAATAAAGTTGAAATTCGATCTTCAACTGTTAATATCTTCTAGAAAATTTCAAAAAAAAAAATTCAATATTTTTCTCGTACTTCCCAAGGGAGCCTCTATCACCCCTTAAAAGGAATGACGCCAATTTTGAATCACCCTGTATAGAAGTTTTGACGGGAGATCGGGGCCGGTCGGCCCACTGTACGACGCCCTCCGTCGATCCGAACTCCGGGTTATCCAGTTCAGTTGGCTCCGGGAGACCGTCGATACCGGAACGAGTTTTGCCGCGAAATTCGGTTAAATATCGGTCACCCGACTAAGCACCATCAGTAAGTTGGCGCAGACATTGACAGCTGCTGATCTGTCAGCTAACTGCGGGGCTGTAACAGCTTTTCTACCGGCCGTCTCATTGTCCAGATTTATGGCTGGTATAGCGCTGCGCTGATTGGCCCCTTTTCCAGCTGCAAGTAAGTCTTTCTTCTTCTTCTCATATTTGGTTAGTGGTCGCCCGGAATAGCAGGTGCGCGAATTAGCGACTATTGCGCGGTTTAAATTTAACTCAAACGCTCATAAAAAAATCCATTTTGCGGAGCCTAGATATTTTCAACTCGCCACTCTGAAGTGGTCCTCATTTCCATCGACATCGATATAGTGTGATCGTGCCACTCCAACTGTTGAGCAGCGGACGCGGAAACGCCAGTCGCCTTAGCAACCGCGGCAAATCGATGTTTTCACGCCACTCCAGATGGACTGCAACTGTCCATCTATCAACACCGGATGATGTGTCATCGTTTTCAGGTTGAAGTGTGATGATTTCGAACACGAGCCAGGTCCTGACCAATGAGGAGGTGTCGCCGGTAACGCTGAACGATCATTGGTCGCGGCTGGCGCGGTTGATCCTGCTGGCGTCCATGTCGGCCGTCGGCAGCGTCGGCAATGTCTTCATGATGAGCGCCGTCATGATCGAGGATTATCTCAGAAAAAGAGGTGAGCTCAAGTGTGCAATTTCCAGCTGGTTCCCATCCACAGTCAACATCTGGCTGAAAAGTTAGAAGGTCGTTGGTGGCGGGCGCTGATCCCGCGCTGTGCTTTAAAAGCCCGAAACCATCGATGTTCTGACTTTTAGAAAAGTTTTCAACCTAATCGCCCAGTCGCGTCAAGCTTTTTAAATGAATGTTGGCCAGCTTATCGGCACGTAAATCCAGTTCGGGCAATTTGCTTGATCGCTTTGCGTGCTCGAATCGGCCCCAACAATCGTGTTCACACTGATTTGGCCCCTCGTTCCATTCTAGTCTGGCAGTAATTTACTAGTCGTTTACGTAAAACACCCGACGGCCGTTCTGGATTCAATCAGCCAGGAATGAATGGCCGATCGGCTGATCAAAAAAGTTGCTGCACGCGACCTTTCCGCCATTCAATAATAATCTGGAGCAGGCGATGTCGAGCGGAACAAAAGCGGCAAAAAACGGCGCCCTTTTATGGATTTTGACATTAAAGTCGGCGAAATGTCGTCTTTACGGCGATTTACTGATGTTGGGGGGCGTCGTAACAATCGAAAATGCCATTTGCCGGAGCATCTATTTGCCTATTTCCGGCCTGATCAATACGAGAAGGACATTACCCTTTCCACTACACTCACTCATTGCCCTTCTAGATCTGGAAACCGATTCAATTTAATGATCAAACACGCGCTTCCATCCTGAGTCAGTAATTGAAAGTCAAAAGTAATTGAAAGTGGGCGCTTTTATCACTAACTGAATGGCTGTTTTTTTATTTCAGCGAACAGTGGCCGCTTAAAGGGAAGCCCGAGCTGAAAAAGCGTAACTTTTTCTAACCATTTCCACCATTACATTGTTTTATAGGTAGTTGCCTTTAGGTGCAGGGTGATTGGGTGCGATTTGACCCTCTGCGGCAAACGTTTTCCTACAATTATTTCCGCATCATTTTCTAGAATTTTTTTTTTGATGATCCCTAAAATGGTCCGTTGTGCACATGTTTATCTGTTTCCAGCCGTTTCCCAGATATGAATGAACATGTATCTAGCAATTTTGAACTTTTTAGAGGTTAGGAATTTCTAATGTTACCGTAATAACCTGCGCAATCAAAATGGCTCGTACCATTGATCGGCTATCTAAAGCCATTTCCGAGATTTGATTGAAAATGTAGGAATTTTGCTTCTAATTTTTTCGAGGTTAGCGATTTTGAATGTTACCTTTAGACGAATAATTGCCCTTAAAAATGATCCAGCCAAATGACCCTAATAATTGCTCGGCCATCTTCACCCGTTTCTGTCATATGGATACAAATATTGTAATTTTCCGTCTAACTTTTTAGAGGTTAGGAAATTCGAAGGTAACCATGATACAAAAAGTGGCGTCCCAAAACGAAAAGGTCTTTACTATTGCTCGGCTATTTGAAGTCGTTTCCGATATATGAAAGAAAATGTAATGTGTAAGGCTAGGAACGTTCGTCATTTTTCATCAAAATGATCCTTACCATTGCTCGGCTATTTCAAGCCGTTTCGGAGATTTGAATAAAAATGTCAAAAATTTCGTTCCACGTTTTTAGAGGTTAACTCCTTCAACTTAGGGGCTGAAACCGCAATCACCCTGTGCATTACCGAAACGGTCAGTCGTAGCCTGTGAGGTGTTTAAGAGTGTTAGCTAGGCCTGAGTAACACTGTGTTGAGTTGCGCTTTTGAGTTGTTAGCGCTCTCTCCCGTTTCCACGTAATTTATTATAAACTTTCGCTTATTCAGTTAGTTTTTTGATAGAAAATTATTTGATTTTAGTGCCAAATTCGAAGCTAAAAAGGGATTTAAAACTTTTTCCAAAGCGACGAAGAAGGCGAGTGTTCTAATAAAATGTGATGCGAAAAATACCTTGAGATTGTCAGTGTTTTAAGTGATTTTTTTAAAAAGTTGAACATTTAGAAAAAATAGTAACTTAGCTCAAACTGGAAAATTCCGAAGTTTTGAAGAAATGTTATATGTATGTATGAAATATTATTGATAAATGGCCCTTAAAATAAATCTAAATCAAATCTTTTCCTTGGTTTCAGTCATTTATTGCCTCTATTTATTAATCAAAATACGTTAACAAATTTCAGATCGGATACCGACAATCTTAGCTCAGTATATCATACATTAATTAAATGAAATAAACATAAAATATTAACTAACACCCGGTATATTGA